CCTGGCTAACGGCATCCCCTGCACCCCCACATGAGCTGCAGCTGCCTCTCAAGAGAGGGGAGAGCAGATGCTGAGTTGAAGGTCCCAAGAGGAGGGGGGTTGGGGCCAGTGCAGACCCCTTGTGCAGCGCTGCTGCCTTGGGGCAAAAAATAACCTGCAATTTGCAGTTTACCCCCATACCGAGGGGTTGCAGAGGGTGCAGCTCTATCAATGGGGCCGCACTGGTGCAATGAACAGTCCAGCAGAGACGGCGTCAGAGCCTCAGGGTTAGTCATTCTTCCTTTGTGTTGAGGTTGCACGTAGGGACCCCCGTCAGAGATCCACGCCCCGTCGCGCTAGGCGCTGTACAAACAGAACAGAGTGTCAGTCCCTGCCCCAATGCACACCACAGGCTAATGATACTAATACCTAGCTCTTTTCATCAGCAGGAGGCACCTGCTGTCTCATTGGACGCTTAGATTAGGGAGAGGCAGCGTGGCCTAATGCACAGAGGACAGGGTTGGGATTCATCCAGCAGGCTACACTAGACCCCACCTGTGATCTCACCAGGTGCAATGCTGATGAATCTCCACTAGGGGCAGTGCTGGCTACAAAGCTTTAGCCCCAGAGCTAAGGGGTGGTTTGTTCCCCACCTAAGGTAAAAAGCCAGGACCCCAGGTGGGGGTTGAGTAAGACCATGAACTCAGCCTCAGGGTCATGGCCGTCTCATGGTGCTAAGTGGGTGGGGGATCCTGGCTAGATGGGCAGGGAGGATCCTGGAGGGAAAAAGTTGAGACGTGGCCATTTTAGGAAGCTGTAACTCAAAAAACGATTAAAAAGCGGTAGGGCCGTTGCCACGTGGTAACAATCTGGCTTCCAGGTGGCCAGATCCTGCCCAGGCACAAGGGACTAGGAGATGGGGAGAGCGAAGGGGGCCTGGGGCAGACGGTGCCATTTGGAGCCATTAGACAATCAATCAGAGAAATTTAAGGTTTATTTTTTTTTGAGCCAATTGGAAATTGAGCCTAAGCCAGCAAAGGGAGGGAAGAGGCTGCCCTCAGGAGCAGGGGCTGTGCCCAGGTAGCACAGTGCACGGCCGGGTCATCTCCTGGAGCGACTGCTAGCAGCAGCAGGCGCGTATACGCCAGTGCACGGTTTATAAATTGTACAGTAGCCTAGATGGCGTGGGCTGGCAAGGGGGAAAGAGGTGAATTCCCTCCACTTGTTGAAACAAACCAGCCCCCTAATGTCACACAGGCTCCTGCCGGCTGCTGCAGTGCTAATGTGCAGTCTCTACAGCAACTCCTTTCACGGACAGCAGGGCAGCCCCTGTTAATCTCTTTCAAGGACTGCACTAATTAATAAACGTTCCTCAGCTTCATCAGGAGGTACAGACAGCCCGTGCGCCGGGGCACTTTGCTGAAGCTCGATCCCTGAAGCTTCAGCAATTTTGCTTTCCAGTGAAATCAATAGTCCACATTTGCATCTCTTCCTGCTTCCTTAGAGCAGCCCTCAGCGGATGCACATGAAGCTCTCTCCCTCCACGCCCAGCCTTGGAAATCTTAGTTGTCAGGGCTTTTTTGCCAGGGACTGCGGCAGCCTTTGCACTTAGGGCTGGTTCTGCGGCTAAAGCACATGGCTGGATGTCAGAGATTGGGGGGGGGGGGGGTCCTAGGGCTAGAGCCTGTGTGCCACCAGCACCAACTCCCACCGTATTGCTCACCAGCACAGAGGCTGCCTTTGGAGTAGATCAGCAGTGTCCTCTAACAGACAAGGACCACAGCAGAGGGCTGAACAATCACAGACTCAGAAATGTGGGGCTGGGAGGGACCTAGAGAGGTCACAGAGTCCAGCCCCCTGCGCTGTGGCAGGACCAAGTAAACCCAGACCAGCCCTGTTACGTGTTTCTCCAACCTGTTCTTAAAAACCTCTAGTGACTGGGATTCCACAACCCCCCTTGGACGCCTGTCCCAGAGCCAAACTACCCCTAGAGTTAGAAAGTTTGTCCTAATATCTAACCTAAATCTCCCTGGCTGCAGATTAAGCCCAATACTTCTTGTCCTACCTCCCATGGACAGGGAGAACGATTAATCACTGTCCTCTTTATAACAGCCCTTAACATGTCACCCCTCCATCATCTTTTCTCAAGACCAAACTTTTTCTAAACACTCTCCTCATAGGTCAGGTTTTATAAGCCTTTTATCACGGTCGTTGCTGTCCTCTGGACTCTTTCCAAAGTGTCCACATCCTTCCTAAAGTGTGGCACTAGAATTGGACACACTACTCCAGCTAGGGCTTCACCAGTGCTGAGTAGAGCGGGACTATTAGCTCCTCTGTCCTACATACAACACTCCCGTTAATACACCCCAGAATCATAGTCACGTTTTTCTTTGCAGCTGCATCACACTGACGACTCATACTCCGTTTGTGATCCATTATAACCCCCCAGGTCCCTGCCAGCAGTTCTACCACTTAGACAATTATTCCCCATCTTGTAGTTGTGCATTTGATTTTTCCTTCCTAAGTGAAGCAGTAGCTTGCGTTTGTCTTTACTGAATTTCCTCTTCAGTCCTAGCCTGAAAAGCAAGAAGTCGGGTCAAGAGCAGTTAGTGGGGTTGTCTCTCAAGGTAACCGCCCTGAAACAGATGGAAAGTTAGCACAAGAGGTGGGAGTTGAAGAGATCATTCTCAGCAGCTCTGTCAAGCTCATGAACAGACAATCGCTATTGGCACTAAAGCAGGGGCACGCACCCAAAGCATCTTTGGTGGGTTTCATAAAACCCATGAAGTTTTATATTGCGGACTCTGGGCCATCCCTGGCTAACACAGAGAACCGTGTCTAGGCAAGTCCTACAAGTTCCAGCACAGGATGCTCCAAGCCAGTCTCGAGCAGCCTCTGAGTTCTAGGTGAAGCATGTTTCAGCCATCTACACATTTGGAATATTGCATCCAGCTCCTGACAAGTTGCAAATACAACACTCAGCTGGGCAAGGCAGCGGCAGCACCATTGTTATTAATGGTTCAAAAGTGCTTTGCGGACACGGAAGACAGGGAAAAGGGAACAAAAGGATATTTGATTGACTGTAGGCAGCGTATTTTTCAAATGGAAGAGCCCCACATTTGGGATGCCTGGTTTAGACACCCCATCAAAGTATATCTAGAGAGACACAGGAGCCAGAAGTAAAAATAAGCAGCAGCAAAACAACTTCCCCTTTTATTTGCAAGAAACGTGGTTTTTAAAAAAATCATTTTCCAGTCTTGATCCAAGGAACACTGCAATCAAACAAACATCATGAAATTAAAGGTCAGACAGGTTGGGCAGCCCCAGTGTACAGAACAAGGACAAAATCAGAACAAACTATTTAAAACTGGATCTCAACATTGCAAGAGATTCTGGCCTCTGACGCAAACATCTTTACTAAACACAAGTGTGTGTCTGAAGTACATTTACACTGAAGAGTGAGGAAAACAAAATCAAATTCAGCGGATGGTTCATCTACCAGATGTCTCAAGCTTTTAACTTCCACACATGGGTAACTTGTAGCCATAGAGTCTCTAACTGTGAAATTATAATGCATAGCCATGCAGAAAACTTCTTCTTGCAAGGTCAAACTAGGATCAGGGTACTTAGGTAACAAATGAGCAATGATATTAATAATACCCTGGGGGAGGAGGAAAGGGAGTTACAGGATTTTAAACTAATGCTTTCGTTGTACACACTCCTACATCAGAGGAGGATCTTCTCTAACATGGGCTGTTGTCTTTTTCCAAGCAGACAATCTGCCCACACCCTCTTCCACCCTAACGGAGATTTTCACACCAAGGCAACTAATGCTTCCATCTCCTGCTTGTCAGGGTTTTTCACTGACCTCTTGTCCCCTGACTGACATTAGAGTCTCCTAGATTCCAAATTCATTTATGAAAAGCTTCTCACACTTATCAGTGCACAGTGAGGGCATGTGTATATACTGTACATACTTCTTTGTAACCTCTGTTAGGGTGAAACAATTTAGAGGCACAAAGGGTTAATATCTGAAGTGCAGAACAGGGTTTTTTTGGGGGGTGGCTGAGGGGGTGTTTCATGCAGAGGGGGAATGTTGCACAATAAAAGAATACTAATGGCAAGCAGGAAATCTAACTTTCGGGACTTGTGATTTGCGGTCATAAGCCTGCATTTTGAGATGACAAATGACTAAGGACAGGAAGCTCTCCTACCAAAACTGGTTAGTAAGGAGTCTGTAGAAGGCCTATCGCCTTCTGCAAAATGCATGTCGTCTCCATGCCAGGCAGGAAACAACTATTCTATCGACAACGGTGCAGTCAGCCAACTAAAGCACTTCAGTGTAAGTGGTCAGTTCCCACAGTGAAACGGGAGGAAGAAAAAAACCCTCAGCTAAACAAAGGTGCTGTCAAGTAATAGCTGGACAGGTTTTATTGCTTCCCCCTTCCGTAACAGGAAGGCAGAGCGCCAGTGTAAAGGCACACCATGCATCTCCTGTGAGAGGTACTGATTTCTGCAGCAAAAGAATCCCTAAAAGCTTCACTGCTGCAAACAGGCTGAGAATTTCCTGCAGGGAGGACCTCCCCAGGACGAAAGGGGAGTGACAAGCTTAAAGTATGTGCCTAAGGGAGAAGAGGATTAAAGGGATACCTACCATCAATTTAAAAGAGTTTCATGGATGACACCCTGCCCATAGATTTCAGTGCTACTCACAGCAACAGTAAATTTCAGACAGAAGTGTGATTTTTAACTTGACTGTGTCCCTTTAAATGGAGAAGTCTGGTGTTACCTTCGCCCTGCGTGGTGGGGGAAAGGCAGGAGTGGATGTGGGATTATGGCAACATGTTGAGGGTCCCATCACCTAGAGGGAGAACAGCCAGGCTGAGCCCACCACAGAAGTCTGGAGAGAGGAACAGGAGCGCACACATGCTGTGTGCTAGAAGTGCAGTCTGTGCTACAGTGCACTACCAAGTGAGGTCAAGAACTACGGCTGGCCTAAGTCAATTGGGCAAAATGCTCATGTCTTATTAGCCAAGTAGAAATAAACAGAATCCAACACTTGTGCCTAAGGAAGACATCTGATTGCACGGAAACATTAAATTAGCAGCAGCCATGACTACATTCAATGGGGAACACTCCCTCAAATTAAATAGTGTCTTTAATCTTCATCTGGTTCAACACAAGTCAGTAGTGCAGCAATATAAATACAACTTAGGAGTTTAAAGCCTTTTGTCTTTCAGTATCCAAAAAAGGAAGCCAATGAAACAAGTTACCAGTTTAATTAAACACAAAGAAAGGCCATGAACTAAGTACTCATCCTAGAGGGGCAGAGGCATCTGACACCCCAATGAAAAGGGCAAACGCTTGCCAAGGATGGAGGTTTGGCTCAAGAAAGCAGCATGTTGAGACAGACATGGCAATGGGGAGGGAGCGTCACACAATCACTCAACTCCACGCTGTCATTGACTGAAAGGGGCCTGTAGTCCAGAACCACGCTGCCCACCGAGGACACACTCCATACCGGGACGTGCCTCTGGGAGCCACCTGCAGGTATTCGGGCAAAGAGGATTTGAATGGTCCCTGTTTCAGTGAGTTAATAAATTTGAAGTGTGCATGTCAGCCGTCAGTCAAAACAATTCAATGCTAGGAGCATACACAGGGCTACTCAATGACAGCACAACAAAAGGCTACCGAGGTGCCAGCTGGAGGGGGACGTCCAGCCATCGGGGAGTGAAGGTATCCACCCATGTTTGTCTTTGACGTGTGTAAGTGTTAGAAGAAAGGACAGCGTCATGGCATCTTACAGTAGGGAGGGCAGTACTGATATTCTACAGTGTTACTGAGCACACGTAGAAGCGTTTCAGAATCTACACAGTGTGCCGTGGAGCTGAACAAACATCTCAGGGCTTTGGAATTAAGCTATTAGTCACAGATACCAGAAAGGCAGGCACTCTCCTTCCCATTAGCAAACGATCCCCTGGGTCTGGTACGAACCCGGAAGGGCTGGCTGCAGGGATGGGGTGCCCCGTTCAGCTGGCTAGCACAGACTCTGGAGCTGGGCTGTTCACTCCAGCTAAGTTTTCGGCATCTGATTAGGTGCCATTTTATCTCTATTCCCAGTGACAAGACTAACAATTTAAAACAATTACAACCCCCTCATAGTTGTGAACTGAAGCAGCCCATTCTGGGTGAGCACAGTATTTTGAATGTCCCCCACTCCACGCGGTTAGCTGGTGTGAAAGGACAAGGTTAATTTTTTAGAAAATGGTGCTTAATCAGTGGAGGGGGGTGGGGTAGAGAGGGGGGAAAAGCTTTTTCTGCAGCTGAAGTAGCATGTGAGCTAGGTTTGTTTTTCTTTTTTAAAAAGGTCAGTCAGTCAGTGTGCCATCACTATTGGAGGCTGTGGTGGTCTGATGGGAGCCCAAAGCATGGCTCTCCCTGACCCTCCTTCAGAGAGAAGAAACCTCCAGTGGGGAGAAGACTGAAGGTCCATGGGAATTTTGCCTCCATTGCAGTAGGAGGTGGGTGGGTCTGTGCTTTCACAGCTGTGGTAAGTGGTTCTGTCCTGTTGCATTCCAGATGCCAGGTAGTCTGTATTTCACAGTTCCTTTTACTCCCTTTGATATCCCTTGAAGTCAGGATTCAAGTACAACCAGTTCTAGTCAAACCACAAAAACAAAGGTAGTTTCCATGAAATAAGTTAGCAGCTTTGACCTATCACGATCCAGCTGGTCTTCAAGGGCCCCCTGGGACAGGGGAATGGAGTTGCCCCCCTTTTCGCTCGGTCCCCTAGCTAAAGGTGACTTAGGGCTTGGCTATAAGATCTCTTCCCTCTGGTTCTTCGGTTTGGGCAGCACCTGTCCATTGCGCAGGGAGCCATTCTGACTCCGGAGTAGTTTCCCTTTCTCTCGGTCCGGCCATGTGAAGATGGCTTCGTCGCTGTCCAGTTCAGATTCGGAGTGCATCAGGCTGGTGTTGAGGACCTGAGCTTTCTGTCTGCTGCCTTTGAAAGAAGCCAAAGAGAATCCCACATTAGAAACACTTTCAACGTTCTCAGTAACATACACTAGAGCGAACAGGAGAAGGGATCGCAGGCTCACTCGGTGCTGCTATTAGGCACAGATCATCCGTCCAGAACTCAGCGGAGTCTCCTGGAGCTATCCCCCAACTCCCTTCAAGAGCCACCGAGCTTGCGGGACAAGAAACCATCCCTGAATTTGTTTCAGGCATCATGACACAATCAGGGTCACACATTCATGTTGAGATGCTCCAGGACACAACATGCAGAGAAATTGGTGAGGTTGTCAGGGTGGATGAGAGGTGTTTGGGGCTGTCACACCTCACTGCCCTTGGGAGAGGGCACTGCCTAGATATAGTTCTATTGGGGTTAGAGGCTGTAGTAAAGAGTAGGCAGGGGTGTGACAGAATATCACTGCATACTCTTACTATTCGCCCTTCTCTAGCATCACTGCTTCTCCTCCGGCCTGCCAGGGAAGGAAGGTAAATTAACGGGCTGAATTAAGATTAAATTCACAAGGGCGGAGGAGAGCCATGTTTACTGATACTGTCAACAGAGGAAGTAATTTAGATTTCAGCTTTTACTTTATAGTGAAATGCAACATTTGCTCTGGAAGTGGGAATGTTCCCATATGTAACTGGGCAAAGAGACATTCTGCTTAGCAGACAATATCTGAAGCATCAAGGAGGGAATTTAGTTACCAGTGAAAAGTGAGAGTTTGAGGTACATTTGCCACAGAGTGATGGTGGCACAATAAGCCCTTTGTTTGGTGGTCAGGCTCTTCGGTGCTAGTTGCCAGATGGTCAGACTTAACTTGGGTGGGCATGTTATGGGAGGGGGAAGCACCCCCTTTCTTCAATGGCATTCAGACTTGGGCTTTCAGGATGCATTGCTCCCACAGACATGGCAATGCCCTCCACTGCGTCATTAGGCACTGTTCACTTTGCTGGAACGCCATTAAGTAGGAGAATACTAGGATGAGCAATTATTTTCAGCTAGCAAACAAAGATTAAGGACTATTTTCCATGCACTGTTAAAACAACCTCTCCCTTTCATACAAACAGTAGGTGAAGAGTCTCATTAGTAAGAATTATTTTAAGAGCTAAAATCTCTCTCACTCTTTGGAGGGTGTGTGTAAGTTCTACACATGCTTTGCAACCCCTTCCTCCTACCCTCAGCCACATTCCCCAGCAGCAATGATTCGGTGCAGGCGTTCTACAGATACAAACACACCATTTCTAGATCACCTGCATAACAAATGCAGCCATCTCTGGGGCGGAGGGTGAGAACCAGCAGGATGCACCGGGTGAGACGGGGAGGGAAATACTGGCCCAGGACCCAGGGACGAACCCTGTCCTGGTGGAAAAGGCCAATGGATTCTGTGTTTACACACAGCATGCACAACCTGGGTTTTTAAAAGCTCTTGTTCCCATGGGGGACATCGGTCTTCCTAGCCAGCATGGCAGGCTTTCAAACCTGTGATCCCAAGGAATCTAGAGGTTTAAAACCTCTTTGCTTAGGCCCCTTCCCATCCACCCACCCCAGTTCATACTCACACTACAGTTACGAGAACCTCTCTGCACACAGCCCCATTGCCTAGTTGTCCTACGGCAGCGACAAGAGGGAACAATTAACTTCGACATAGACTCTTGGGATATTTTTAAATGGACATTTTAGGCTGGAGGATTTGGGGAGGGAGAGAGAAAAATCACAGAGCCTAGCGTCAGAAGAACAGACCAGGCTGTGCAGGACCATGGTCCCCAGTACCTTCTGAGAAGTCAAACTACTTCCTGCTGTTCGTTGGCCAGTCAAAACCCAGTAGGCCGCTCCATTTCTCAGCTGCAACGCGTATGTGTCAGGGTCTCGGCTCTGGGATCCAGCCGAGAGGTTTAATGAGGGCAATGGGTTTTTATCCTGCTAGAGATGAGTAAACGTGTTCAACTAAGGCCCAAGAATTGAGCCCCAAACTCTTTACAGAAACAGATTTTGGTTATGGTTTTGCCCATCTCTTCACTGCTTGGATCTGGCTGGGTTCAGAACTGGAAGCACCGCAATACCAGGAGTGGCTGTTCATGTGCTTTTTCTAATGTGACAGAAGCTGGAAATACTAGGACAGAGACTATTCTTAGGCAGTTTCCAGCCTCTCTTCTAGACCAAAGAGGTTTCGATGCTTTGACTAAGTGACCAGTCTTTAGATCTGAAGCAAGAGTCCAGACCTTCTTAGCATCGACATCACTACTCAATACCATGCTAGTTTCACACTGCGATTTTACATCCGCAGGAGCGGGATTTCCTGTGTCACATTCTGCAAACGTTAAGATCTTCTCTCATGTTTTACCTGCTTTGAGGTTTGGTTTTAACTCCAGACTCTCCTGATCTGTGGCATCCAAAATCTTGTATTTGCTTTTCCTTTTGGGTTTTCCTTTCCGCCTAGAGGGGGAAGGAGAAGGGGAGGAAGAAAAAAGTTAGGCTGAAGTTCATATTTAGATAAACCCAGACAGGAAAAGCTCTAAACGTAAGAGCTGTGTAACTTGATTCCAGTTTTATCCATAGGAGAGGACACTATATTAAAAAAGTTACTCTGATCGCACAATTTTACGCTAATCAAAATCTTGCATCCAAATTGAACCTCCAGTTCTAGGACCTTTATGTTTCACCTGTACCCCTCCATCCTACTCTCCCCTCATTACACCATTGTTCACACTCCATTCTTTCTAAATTGGCAACAAATGACACACTTTTAGATATGGGAATAACAGAGCCTATGTAAAGTGACCTGCTTAGACTATCAGTTTGCAAGACCTCAGACTCAGGAGGCAGCTACACGTATTGAAGTGTTAGAGATGAGGGTTTAAGGCAGGGGTCTCCAACTCGCGGCCCATGGGCCACCTGTGGCCAGCGAACCTCCCCAATGGCTCCAGCAGTTTTGGGGCCAGGTCTCTCCCTTGGCCCCACCTGCCATCCCCGGGTGCTCCCCCCACAGGTGATTTAAAATGGCCTGGGGCCCCGGCAGCGCAGCGGAGCTGAGCGGTGTCTGCCTGCTCGCTCCATGTGTCTGCCAGCCCTTCCCTGCGGCCCCGGAGTGCGTGCTGCCCCCACCCCGAGCGCCCCTGCGGCCAATGGGAAGCTGTGGGGGCAGTGCCTGGGGGCAGCAGCGCGCAGAGGCCCCCCGGCCCGCCCCACCTTGGAGACCCAGGTAAGTGTCACACCCCCGACCCCCTCCCAGAGCCTGCACCCCTCCCCGAGCCCAACCTCTCACCCCTTCTGCACCCAAACTCCCTCCCAGAGCCTGCACCCCAATCACCTACCCCAGACCTCCTCCCGCAGCCAAACTCCCTCCCAGAGCCTTAGGCAGGTGGGGGGGGACAGAGTTTTGGGGGGCATGAGTGACATTATTGGCCCACTAGGAGGATTGAGGACTGGCACTGGCCCTAAGGTAAATTGAGTTTGAGATCCCTGGTTTAAGGGCTCAAGTTATTACCTTTTACAACAGCAGACCACAGTCCAGGATAAGATTCCAAAGGCGACCACAATGACAAAGGACGCAATGATCACATACAGCACACTCCATTCTGTGACCAAAAAAACCCAAGAGAGACACAACTTAGCATCTCACGCAGTTCATAGCTGGGACTTTAGGTGACCCTCCCGTAGAAGGTCAATCATAACAAAAAGGAGCCTCATCACTTAATAGCATTCGAGAGACCAGCATTCTATTGCCAGCTCTAGCACTAACTTCTCTAGGGAAACGACACATTTCAGAGCTGATTTTCCAGGCCCTCTCTTTGCTCGTGTCTCTGTTGCCCAGGCCACTTGCAAGACACTTCTCACACTATGTATTAACTTATTAAAAAGTTAGTCCTCCGTGGCAGGGAAGCATCGGTCTGGTTTAACAGTGAATTCTGCTTCTGTAGCATAATCACACAAAAGGTTAGCATTAGACTTCCTTTAATAGAGGCAGAAGCATGGGCAGCGAGTCCACTTTGCTGTGTGAGCCAGGGAAAGGACCGGGGTGCTAGCCGTATGCTGAAAATGGACTCAACTCTTCTCGTCCGAGTTTATCATCTGAGGGCTCTGGAGATCAGTTTCCCTACCAAATATTCACTGACTAGGATACGGACTCTGCTCCTACTCCCATTAAAATCAATGAGAGTTTTGCCATTAACCACACCGGGCCCCAAATCCAGGTAACTGGATGTTAGGAAAAACCCAGCTGAATTAACGCTGGCAGACAACTGCTCTTCAGCACGGCCAGGGGCTTCATGCACCATCTGTTCAACTAGGCAGCCCTCCGCTCCTTCCACGCAGCCCTCTTCAAGAAAAGAAATCACACCCCCCCCCCCCCCCCCCAGATTGCACATACCACAGTTACTCTCGCCCTCCCCCATCTGCACTTTGATGAAGTTCTCCATCCAGAACGGGTCACAGATGCAGCGCTTGGTGAAGGAGTCGCAGCGCCCATGCTCGGAGCAATTCAACTGGCATGCTGTGGACAGGAATGGCTGAGAGTGAGGTTAGACTGAGACTTAAGCAACAGACAGCACATGATTTAGAACTGGTATAGTACAAAAGAAAAAAAATGGCGAATATAAACAAAGTTCCCAAGCTGCCCAACCCCATGGGGATCAAACTTGAATCCACTCACCGGATAAGTATTTTTTTCCTTTTCTCACCAGCCTGTGAAACCAACCTGATTTCTCATTTCTGGTTTTCATTTCTTAAGGAAACTGAGCTAAATTTCTCTCTAGATCAGATAGCTAGAGCTGCAAACAGATCAGCTGTGTCTGAGCCTCTCCAGACCCACTGAGAAAGTTAAGGATAATTAACCCTCTCCCTAGGTGGCTTTAGTGAGATGGATGCCAAGCGTGTCTTCTTTTGCAAGCACGTTAAGCAGAGAGCAAAGTGGCCTGTGGTGCTGCAGTGCTCTCCCATAAACAGGCCAAAAGGGAAGTGGCAGGTTCCCAGCACAGCTTACCTGGAGTAGGAATGGGGATGCATTTGTGATGATCACTCTCTTGGCCAACACTGGGGATTGAACCTGGCAGCTCCAGATCTAAAAGCACAAGTGTCTCCAAACTTCAGCTAAAGAGCCAGGCTCTCAAGCTGAGAGCTGTAATAGGCTCTGTGGAGCAGACACAGGTGTGTGTGTGGGGCGGGGGTGTGGGTGGGGGGGGGCACGGGCGGGGACAGAACACTCGCTGCCCAATGGGTTACACTTTCATTTACTATTGGAGCTAGACCTAGAATATTTTCTTGGGGGAGGGGTGATAGGGGGGTAACAACCCGTGCCAGGCCCCCCGGTCCCACAAGCATCTGTAGAGGGAGAGGAACAGATGTTAGCTCCTTCCACCATTACTCCTACTTACTGACTGTATTAATTTCTAGTGCTCGGAAGATGAGGAAGTCCGACTGCTGTTTCCGGAGTTCACTTTTGAGCGTCCATGCTACATCGTGCCCTTTGAAGATCTGATGGGGTGGTTGGTTCTGCACAAAGAACACCATCTTTGTGCTGCAAATCAGACACGAGAAAACATTACCAAGAGAATCTGGCCACAATTACATGTCAACTGTTCATCCCTACATTCCAGAAAGAGAGAGTAAACAGACATTTAAGAAGCATCTCAGCATGCCATCATTATCCATTCTGATTCCCACTGGAAAGTGAATTTTGCTTTAATACCCCTCCATTGCTCCTACCTCTGCTCTGTGTACGGCTGGATCTTTTGTACGGTAATGTCCGAGTCCAGGACGCCCAGCAGAACGCCTATCTGACGGATTAACATACCCTTCTGTCTTTCCGTCAGCTGGCTGACATTAACATCCAGTATCATCTCCACAAGATTGTTTTTCCTTGGATCTAGGAAGAACACAGAACAAGCACATGGGCTTCCAAATGACAGCGTGGGTGAAAAATCTTAATTTTTGGTACCTCCCTAGAACACTTATTTGGGACACAAAGTGCAGCATCTAATAGTGAGGGGATCATAGAGATGACATGATCTTTATACATAATGGCAGGTAGTAAGGCTCTTTGCAGTGAGGCTCTCCACATGGAGAATGGACCAACACCTTTAAAGACTATAGGAAAACATAATTGTTTCCCTCCCACAATTTATGACACTTGTACTTTCCCTAGCTGAGTCAAGAGCTCATGCACTAAAACATCAGGAAATTCAGAAGGATGAGCATAGAAGACCAGTGAATTTTCCATCAGATGTCCTGTACGTTACAGAAAGTAACTGAATACAACTCCTCAGCTCACCAGGATATATATATAGGAAGCTGGCTGTAGGAGTTTATTTTTAAAAAAAGACAACCCATGTCATTCAACTGGGTATATGGCATCAGTACAGTCTGCATTGCTATATCACTTTTCATCAGAGCCCCTCAAAGCAGTAGCACATTATCTACTTCCCGAAAGTTACGCTTATTTTACAGATCGACAGACTAGAGACTGAGTTGAAATAGCTTGTCCAGAGTCTACTGTTCATCAGGCATAATGTTCCACATCATTTAATCAGTTCCCTCTAACTTTATGTTAAGACTTTTCCTGCTCTTGATGGATTTTGGCGCATTCCAAATACAGACACACAACTTTCCTGCAGCCGCTTCTGTCATTTCAGAGCATGCATCAGGGTACAAAGAGAATCCTTCACTGTTACTAAGATCCTGGGTATTGCAACCTGCTTTTGCCATTGCCAGGAAAGGTGCATTCATGGCAGGACACTCCAGTTTAGAAAGAATCTCCATGGTGCAAAGAGCAAGAGGACTCACCAGCTTTGACTTCCACAGTGGTCCTATCTGCATCACTCTCTCCTTTGGCATCCGTCACTTTCAGATGGAACGTGTATGTCCCCTCCACCAGGTTGGAGAGGAAAAGCACAGGGTGGTGGTCTGAATTATTTAACACCTCCTGGGAATTTGAACAAAACTAATATTAAGAAACAAACAAGGGCGCTGCAGATTTGACCCCTATACCACATACTGAGCTGCATCACTCCACACAGCAATCAGTGTGCAGGAACCAATGCTATACTCTCCCAGGAGCTATTTGCCAAAGAGTCTAGCTAAACCTCACTACATCTTCCATACTTGTGCAATGCTGCATATTCCCATTACAGAGACCACGTTTGCCGCACTCACCCCAGCTGCAGGGCTTCCTTCGTCCCGGGTCCACAGGTAGCTGACAATTCCCTTATCATCCCAGGATTTGGACCCATCCAAGGCTGCTGTGTTTGTAGGGAGGGTGACGACAACATTCCCAGCAATCTTTGCCGCTGGTGGCTTGTTCATCTCTAAACAAGTAGATGAAAAATTGTTACAAGAATTTGTTAGAGCTTAAGTATAGCACCAGGAGCTATGCTGGAATCCAGGCATCCATAACTTTCAGGGTCTAGCTGGACCCAGGCTTAAATGGGGGTTCATCCAGATACTGCAGGATTCAGTGCAGTTTGTTCTTCCTTCAGTCAGATTTGAATCTGTACCCCAGAATGGTGCTGGGAGGGGGCACTGTGCTGCTCAGATGACACACAGGAGTTCCTGACTATGCTCATATTAATGATCCCATGGCGATTTTTGTAAGAATAAGCGTTAACCGCAAGGTCCTGGCCAAATTCGGAACAAGATACTATGTCTTGTGGAAGTGAATTCTGTTAAGTAGTAGCAAGAGAAACTGATATTGATTTACAGGAACAGGAATTACAAGACTGGATCAGACCCATGGTCCATCTAGCGCAGTATCCTGTCTCAGACAGGTGCCAGCACAAGATGCTTAAGAGGAAGATGCTGGAAACCCCCCAGTAGGCAGGTGACAATCTGCCCCACAAAGGTCTCATCCTAACCTCTAACAGGTAGAGACTGGCTTAAGACCAAGCATGAGATTTCATTACCCTTCCAAACCTCTCATTATATAGCATTAACTATTTTAACGGGATATTCTTGTTATCTGTATAAATCCCTCTGACTCTTACTAAGTTTTTGGCCTCAATGACATCCTGTGCTAATGAATTCCACAGTCTCATTATGCCTTGTGTGAATTTTTTTTTTTTTTTTTTTTTTTAAATCAGGCTTGAATTCGAGTCCTTTTCATTTCCGTTGAAGTCCCCTCATTCTTGTATTAGGAGACAGGGAGAACAAAAGTTCCTGCTCTCCCTTTCTCTAGGCCATTCGTTATTTTATAGGCTTGTATCATGCCCCCTTATATTCCTCTCTAAACTAAACACTCCCATGTTTTTCAATCTCGTCAAATGAGAGTTTTTCAAGGCCCCTAAGCTTTTCTTCTTCTTACTATTTTTATTTATTTGTATTACCATAGTGCCTAAGATGAACCAGGACTCCACTGTGCTAGGTGCTGTACAAAGAGAACAAAAAAAGTTCTTGCCCTTCTCTGAATCCCTTCCAACTCCAATATCCTTTCTGACATGGGGAAACCAGTGCTGCCTACGGTATGCCAGGTGAGGGCAAACCACTGCTTTGTATAATGACATTAGAACACTTCCTGTATTATTCTCCATCCTGTTCCTTAGGCACTTTGTTTGCCCCCCCCCCCCCCCCCCCTTTTTTTTTTTTTTTAAAAAGCACAACTGCACACTGGGCAGTGGTCTTCACTGATTGCTCTCAGTGATTGCACAGGTCTTTCTTCTGATGTTACAGTTCACTTCTGAGTACAACTGGACACACCTTCTTTGACAATGACATTAACTGAGCTCTGGCTTTGCAAGCTCCTTTCATCTTTGACAGTCAGTGTGAATTCGTATGTTCCAACTTGAAGCCCAGTTACAGTAGCAATGCTGCTGTTGGCATTCTCCAGTTTTACACCATCCGGGCCCCTAGCCAAAACAAAAGAGCATTAGTCTGTGCCCATGGACCTGGGATCGGGTCTCATGCCAATGAACAGGGGAGTTAAACTAATAACAGTAAGTGTAGTTACCAGGTAATATCCCTGCTCCTCAGAAGGAGACAAGATACCCGAGCATATAAAGAAAATTTATTTCTTCCAAACTCAGGCAATAAGACACTAAAATGGGTAAATCCTACATACAGTATATTTTGCATAGTCTCTGGGGGTCTAGTGCAAATTAAATGTTGTGCCAAACACTCCCTAGGCCAAAAGTGCCTTATTAGTATTTACTGAATGCAGATGACTGCTAGAAAAGACAGCTTCATGGTAATTGCACAATGAGCAACAACAATGAAAATATTATAGCAATGACAGCTCTTTTTACAGTAGAAACTTAGCGCACAGCTTGCATTGTTGGGCTAACGCAAAACCAAAAAAGTTACATTTAAAAGTTGTCCATAGGCTTTGCCCTAAATTCCAAAAAGTAATCGGCGCCTCTTAGGGGAAGCCTGACACAATGATCAAAATTAACAGGGCTGCAGGAGAAGTGCTATCTCCGCTCACGCTTGTGTTGCAAGAGGACCCCATTTAAAAGAAAAAGGAACTTCTGTTAACCCAGATTCTCATTGACACTGTCGGTGTAAAGGGGCTTTTTGAAGTGGGTGAGGTCCCTTTACACTACCAGAACCGTAGTAGAAATGAGAATCGGGCTGAAAGAGTTTAATGCTAAGGCCAGGATATTTCCAACGCTTAAACAAAACTGGGCGCAGGCCTTGCTGGAGTCCTTTGGCTCATATGTTACTTATGCTTAGGGCTCCAGCAAGGGCTATATTGGGGTTCTCCTCCAATTAATAGCCAAATCCTGGTTCCCCGTAGTGATTGGCAAAACTCCCACTGAATTCAATGGGACCAAGATTTTGACCCCGGTATTTTTTTTAAACTAAAGTTTAAAGGCACAGATACTCCCAGCAGAAGGATCTGGGATGTGATACCAACCGTGTTTTTTCCCAGAGGAAGGAGACTATTTTCTGGTCGTCTGAGCTCTTGCTGCCATCTAGAGTGGTGCTGTCCACAGGGAGGGTGAGTTCTTTATCTGGGCCAGCATCTGCTTTGGGGGGCTTATTATTCTCTGGAAAAGGATTGTGAATAACAAAAGAAGAGGAGATGGAATTAAACATGCTGCTTGTTCTGTGAGGCAAAGTTTAGGATGGTTCCCCCCTAAATACCCAGTTGAATAGAAGTCTCAGACAAGATAGCCGGATAGATAGTATTATCCCCATCTTACACTGGGAGAAAGTGCAGCAGACGGTGGTGGTGAAGTGACAGTCAAATCAGAAGTATGTTGGTAGAGGTGAGAGTTAGCAACAGCCATCTTGCCTGCCATGCCTTGCAACAGCACTGCTTAGTAATAAGGGGAACTTACCAGGCTGCACGATCACTGTGACCTCAGCCGTGGACTGGTGGCCTGCAGAATCGGTCACCGTTAGCTGGTAGGTGTAATCACCTTCTTGCATTGCAGAGAGCTGTAATATTGGTGTCCTCACACCCTTTGAGAAAGCAAGTTAATGCATTATGACGACTCCTTACACTGAAGGGATCAGAGATATGAAGGGCCAGAACCAGTACTAACTATCCTGGGTAGAAACTGGCTGCTTATCATTAATCACATATATGGGGCCATAGGTATGCATGGCATCAAACAGATATGTAGTGTCCAAGGATATGTAGTGTCCAACTTGTAAGTGAACATAACCTCAACACCTCGGAGCACGATGGGAGAGTAGTGGAGCGACATACCAAGAGGAAATGGGGAAGACTTGATTTAGGCTAAACTTGGCTGTTAGTTCAATCACCGAACCTGACGTGATCTTAAAATGTATTTAAATATTAATAAATGTTTTAACCTAATCAACACATAGGCTTGCACAGATTATGAGAGACATTTCTGCATACAAACTAGACCTTTAGATGGCTACTAGCAAACATCGCAGCACAATGGATAAGCATCATGTAGGGTATTAGTGGGAAACCTCCACTTACCTGCATCTCCATCACCTTTCCTTTGCTACTGGGGCTGAGTAACCATTCGTAGCTGACAATGCTATGATCATCAGTGCTCTGGTTCCCGTACAAGGTGATCGAGTTTTGGGGAAGCGTGATCACTTGGTTGGGGCCTGCGTTTGCCACTGGAGGATAATCCACTTCTTTATTCACAGTCAAGCTGGCAGTGGTAGAGTTGCTGGCACCATCTGAATCCACAACTGTTAGGCTAAAGACCAAAAAGGAAAAACGGAAAGGTTAGGACTATGAGCGAAGAGCTCAAATGCAAAGGGATGAAACAGTCTGAATTTAACTGAGGGGTTAGAAATCTAAAATTATCTTGGTATGGGATTGAAGTGTTTGCTCTTGGGGGGGGGGGGGGGAGAAACACAGTTTAAGTCAACTGTGCACTTGCAAAATGAGTATCACAAAAACATGTGTAGTTATAAGGGCAGAGCAAGGCATTCCACAACCAAATCCACCACCTTCCTAATATCTATCAGCTAGTTACAAATGCAAAGAAATCCCCATGAAACAAGATTTTTCCAACTCCCTGTTAAAGTCACACCCATTGTACTGAAAATCCAGAGCTCCTGCCAGTTTTAAAAGCGTATGTTCATTTCAGGTATCTATCACTACACCCCATCATTAATCCTGTGGTGACAGCATTCCTTCTTAAGCAGAAAAAAGGCTCAAAGTGGGATGGTCTTCTACTAAACCTTCAACCCCAGTTTGTACCAGGTAACACACATTACATCGCTGTATATAAAAGGTATTGTTCTGTTCATGTGCGTATGAGTTATATCGTGTGTCATTTAATTAGATTCATTGCTGTGTTTAGCACTGACACCACAGCAAATTATAGATCAAAGGAAATAAATATACCCTCCTTTTTCCAAGCAGATGTCAAAATAAAATCAAATGCTACGTAACTATCCAGAGATTTGTATAAATACTTAATTCTAAAAACAATTTCACTGGTGATGAACACATTACATATAGAGAGTAGAATATTTAAACAATCAATTTCCTCCTGAATGTAGAATAATCTATTTTTGGTATTTTAAAAGACATTTTAGTATCTCTGTTATACTAAATTCTCCTTTTTCTGCCATTGTCTTATATTGATTCTACAAGTCTAAAAAAAAAAAAAAAAAAGTCAGCCAGTTATTTTTTAATCTTTACTCAAGTGAAACATAGTATAAAAAACCTCTATTAGCAACTGACCATAAAGTTCCTGGAGCAAGAGAGGGAAAAACCACAAAACATGATTTGTTCCGCTATCTTTTGCAACCCAGACTGATGTAATCAGGTATAAAACTAAAGAGATTCACATGAAACCTGGACTAACGAACTGCTATATGCAAAACTTACCTGAATGTGTAATTCCCAGGTACTAAGTTGGTCAGTTTCAATATGGCAGTGTCAGTCGATACCTTCTCGTCCCGCAGTGGCCCCTTCAATTCTTCCCAATGGAAACTGACAATTTTATAATCATCAGTGCTTTCTAATTCAATTTAAAAAAATATGCATTAGGAATCTGGTTTTATGAAGCCACATTTCAAATAAAGAGCTTTAATTTGTTCTTTACACATAAGTTTGGAGAGTGGAGCTTCTTGTCCCAGTCCCTAGCCGCAGATCTCTCTCTCTCTCTATTATACTGGTTTGGTCAAATTGTGTATGCCATACACCAGGGGTGGGCAAACTACAGCCTGCGGGACGGATCTGGCCTCTCAGGGTTTTGGATCCGGCCCGCAGGATTGCCCCCCGTGGCACCACAGGCTCCGTGCCGCTCTAAGAAGCGGCCGGCATCACTTCCCTGTGGCCCCCGGGTTGGGGGGGGGGGGGGAAGGGTGGACAGAGGGCTCCGTGTGTTGCCCTTGCCTCCAGACACCGCCCCCTGCAGCTCCCATTGGCCGGGAACAGGGAACCACGGCCAATGGGAGCTTTGGGGGAGGTACCTGGAGGCGCAGCAAGGACAGTGCACGCGGATCCCTCCGCCCCACCCTCCCCCAGGGGCCGCAGCACTTCCTGGAGCGGCGCTGGGCCGGGGCCAGGGCAGGCATGCAAGGAGCCTGCCCTGGCCCCGGTGCACACTGCTGCCACCCCAAAGCCGCTTTAGGTAAGCGGCGCCGGGCCGGAGCCCGAACCCCGCCTGCACCCCTGTGCACCCCAACTCCCTGCCCTGAGCCCCCTCGTACACCCCGCACCCCTCCTGCACCCCAACCCCCTGCCCTGAGCCCTGCCGCACCCTGCACCCCAACCCCCTGCCCTGAGCCCCCTCATACACTCCGCACCCCTCATCTGCCTGAATCCCTTACCCTGAGCCCCTTCCTGCACACTGGACCTCCTCCCACACCCCGCGCTCCCTCCCGCACCCCAACCTCCTGCCCCGGCCCTGCATACAATTTCCCCACCCAGATGTGGCCCTCAGCCCAAAAAGTTTGCCCACCTCTGCCGTACACTGTTTTTTTTGCAGATACACACATCCCATTTTTCCCAGGGAAAAGATACTGGTTTGGGGCAGACAATGAGACAAAACTGAACAAGTTTAAAAGGAAAGCTTGGCAGAGCTTCAACAACGACAAACAACAACAACAAAATCAATAGATCTTTTGCTGGTTAATTGATATGCTTGCAGCTTAACACACAAGACCACCAATTTTGAATAGACTCATTTGATTCTTTGTACTTTAGTCGAAACCAGCAAATCTAGTTGGGCTGTAACTCTTCTGGGTCTTCCTGTTTCAGGGGACTCACCGGGGCACGTGCCCCCAGGAGGGGGACCTTGTATGTAAGCTGGTGTGTGCAGAATGGAGAGAGAAATCGGCAATAAAGACCAGTAGCTGTGCTGTCCTTGCCACAAGCTAACAGGAATTATAGGGAAAGCGTAAAAAATAATTAGGATGAGTTATCCAAGTCCCCAGGTTCTGAACTGGTTCTTTCCACAGAAAGGTGGCACAAAGGGTCACATCTATTCCATCTTAATGTGACACAGAGTCTGATCATTGCCAGGGTGGACAGGCAGCCTCAGCTCGCTGGATGACATGTGATTAGGGTACTCACGGCTGCCATCGATGACAGTAGAGGTGGTCGGCAGTGAAATCTCTTGGAATTGTGGTGACACAATAGCCACAGGAGGCTGATTCACACGAGGCTCTGCAACAACAACAACAACAGTGCTGTGACAATGTTGTTTACAGGCAGATCAATGGTACAAACATAAGCCAAGGAACTCTGCGAAACTGTTCAGATTGTCCACTAGGGGTTGCTAAAGTAATACATGCGGCACATTCCTTCCACTCTTTGCAACCCTATGCCCAGTCCGCTCAGTTTGCGACTAGAATTGCCTCTATGGTCCAGCCTCAGAAAGACCAAGAGAAGAGAGGTCCAAAGTACAGTTGCGAGGCAAGGTCACGCCCCTAGATTGCTGATAACAACAACGGGTCTGTGATAATCCTGCAATGATTACAGCTCCCAGCCCTGATCTTCCTTGGGATTGGACACGTCACTGTCCAATTAGTTACACATCAACCTGAGGTGTTGTGCTACAGGTTGAGGGTTCTAAAGTAAAGAAGGGAACAAGCAGACTATGACATCAAGCCAGTGCTCACATAGGGATTATGATACCATCTTGTCACTGTCACCTCTAGGGCATCAGGGATTCAGACTGTGATGTGTTCTAACAGGCTGGCACCTGCGATCACTCAGATGAGTTCAGCCACTACTCTGAAAAAGGAGCAATTTAACAAATCTGCTAGGCGAGCTACAGGTTCATTGTTTACACTCGAATTGACCTGAGCAAATATGTAGTCTAAGGCAATGGTTCTCAACCAGGAGTCCAGGGCCACAAGCCGGTTTCACGGGGTCCGCCAAGCAGGACCAGTGTTAGACTTGCTGGGGCCCAGGGCAGAAAGCCGGAGTCCCACTGCATGGGGCTGAAGCCTGGGGCCCTGAGCGCTGAAGCCTGAGCAACTTAGCTTCACGGTGCCTCCTGTGGCATGCAGGCCTGGCTTTTATGTGCAGAAAAGCCGCTACTGTGGCACAGGTGGGCCGTGGAGTTTTTATAGCATGTTTGGGGGAGGAAGAGGGGCTCAGAAAGAAAAAGGTTGAGAACCCCTGGTCTAAGGAGACATCCAACAATGTTTAAAACCCTAAATCTCCCCTCTTGCAAATTTTTGGGAAGGCGAGAATGAGCTTTGTAAGAAAAAGCAGCAAGGAAAAAAGGTCTTCGAAGCTCCAGAAAAGGTTCTCTTGTATAAACAAGGGAGACACCGAATGTTCAATGCACTTGCAAGAATGGGTCAGGGAGTTCGAAACTCTGATCTGCTGAAGCCCAACCTAACATCCCTCCACTTCCCCGCCCCGGTAAGCAGTCCCTTTATCTGGAAATAAAGACTTAACCAATGATATGTCAGAGTTTACTGTATACACAACATAAGCCTGCTGCAAAAACAAATCTTTGTAAAGCATCCTGCTGCCTAGAATGAGATTTGATTTAAACTGGCTGCAGATGGGGCTGATACTTATTACTATAAGGGGAAAAAATCCAAGGAGCTTCAAAGCACAAGCTTCCCTTCATCTCCCATCCCTGCTGCCCTAGGGTTTTCTCTTGGTGCAACTAGTCTCTGTTGGAGTGGTGCTTTTCCCAGGAGCATGAGTTTGATAAGTATTTCACCAGCAGTACTTTCATCGTAGGATATTCGTTTTCAATAGGTTTGCACTCAGTATAGCATAGCTAAGTATACAGGTGGTCATTTGTCATTTCAGAAAGTAATTTTTCACACACACACACACACACACACACACACACACACACACACACACACGAATTCTTACTATATTAAGCCAAACCCAAGCCCAGCAAACAAAATACCATAATACAGCTGCTGAATTAAACGTGTAGGGACACCAGCCAGCCACTGAACTTACTTGGGTTAACTGTCACATTCACGTAACCTTCCCCATGTGCTTTTCCCCCATCAACTATCACTTTGAATTCATACAGACCAACGGTGAGCTGGAAAGGAAATGGAAGAAGTTACACAACTTCAAGGCAGTGACAATCCGTCAGGAGCCATTAAGAGGTCAGACTACCATCTTGCATCCTGATACATTGTTAGCAGCACAGAGCAGAGGAAACTCTGTTCTGGTCCATACATGCAAGGCAGAGGGTTTCTACTGCAAGGCAACCTGAGGCATCTTTCGTCTCAACAACTCCATCATAAATTAAAAGGCTGATATTTCCCATTGCTACTGATGATATAGGGCTGTCAGCCAGGCTAGATTTTCTAGCAACACCTGATGACCAACAGAAGAGGCATTACAGAGCTCAGTCCAGGTCTCCTGGCCAAAACACAGGGCCTGTTTAAGAGGAGAGAAAAAGTTCACATAGAGGATCTCAGCCTTCATGGACAAATGGATTTTGCCCATAATACGGCTCAGCCAAGGGTCCCTTCACTTCTCTAAACCCCCAAAAGTCTGGAATTGCAGGCATGTGTGGAGCAGAGACGGTTGAATGCTGAGGTTATATGCTGGATGGCAACTGTGGGGCTGAGGGAGGGGGAGGGACCCTGCATGCTGCTATGGTTAAAGCTCTGGTCTTTCTGAGTGCAGTGTTGGAGCAGAATTGATGTTTCTCACAGGAATCTCCCAGTAAAAGACGTGTTACATTTTCACGCACTGTTTAAACTAACCCTCTTGTTAAAAATTCCCCACATCTCTGTGGAAAAGAATGATCCTTTCAATCTACTATAAAAACACCTTAAAAGCAAAGGCCAGGGAGCTAGTGTCATTAATAACAACTGTGCATCACCCCAAATCCTGGCAAGATGGGGGGAAGTGTGTAAAAGGGAGCTTTAAAAATAATCTAACCACAGACCAGCTTCAGGGGAAAAGCAATCAAGGCGCTCTCTTGAATTTTATTGTTAGCTGCCATTTTAGGGGTTTACATGCTGCTGGTAGACAGCATTGAGGCTCTTAAATCTTGCCATTCTTTATCCCAGGTTTTACTGCACTACATTCAGCTCTTTATAAAACATTTATCTAAAAGTCTTTGGCTGAAACACCGGCAGCCTGCCTGTCCTGCAATGTCCTATTCATTCTGAAATAGCATGCAAGTCCTTGGTGGCAGACAAGGTCTCTGCCTTCTCTGCTAGAGAGTCACCCTGCATGACACACAGCAGGATGCTAAGCAGTCAGAGCTTCACCTTAGATAACTTGAGGGTCTGGGAGTGTTTGCCTTCCATCTCTCCACTGTAGTCTTTTGGGTGAGTAATCAGCCCCCAGTCATAGGTGTAGCTGGTTCCTAAAGAAAGGAGAATTTCAGAGGCCACACAATTAAAGGAGCATTAAAAAAAAAAAAAAAAAAAAAAAAAAAAAAAAAAAAAAAAAAAAAAGAGAGACAAGAGCAGGTGCTCAGATTCCCATCAGTCCCTGCTGCTGACTATGGGGAAGTGCTGGTCTGCACTTCAACACCACACTCATTCTGGGAGCTAGCGATACCTCACACCTCTTTAAGGGGTTAAGGAGGTTTAGAACCATCACAACTCCAGAGTACTAGGCAAGGAGAGAGACTTATTGCTCTCAAATCTTGTAGGCACCTGTCTGAAAATTTCACCCTTGGCATCATAAACAAGAAACATTTTCCATTTCACATGTCACACAAAGTCCCTCTCTATTTCTGCTTCCAGGTTCCCTGCTGTCATTGTGGGTAGGGCTAGAAATGAGCATATCACAAGCAAGCTCTGAAGAATTTGCATTTCTTAGGTCCAACTGAACAGACTCTCCAGCTTTTTGGTTTCTCAGTTTCCCCCTTCTCCGTGTAGCAATCCCTAAAAGCCAAAGCCTTGTCCAGCAAATCAGTAGTCAGTTGCTACAAGCTGGTACAATTCCTAACTGCACATGTCATCAACTGGCACTGAAGACCCACTAACTCCTCATGGAAAACTTTGAAGTTACAATGGCTCCCAAACCTGATCTCTCTGGGGACTACACACTTGTAGTGTCTGTATTTCTGCCCCTTGCTATTATAGGGGGCAGCAAGGTCTAATGGTTAGGACAAGGGACTCACTGGGAGACCATGGTCAAATTGTATTTTTCTGTGCCTCAGCTAACTCCCCCGTAAAATGGAGATGAAACTTCATCACCTTTAGGTAGAACTTTCAGACTCTCAGCTGAAGCACAATATGTATACGCAAAGCATTATTATTGTTAGGACAAAGGATGTTTGTATTTCAGGTGGGGAAAATAAACAAGAACAGCTGAGTTCAAGGAGCAAGTCTCTTATCTGTTTGCAAACACTGTAGAGTTCTGTAAAAGTTATGTTGTCAGAGACTTAGGACTTCAGTTTAGTGGAGAACGAGTTCTGAGGAAAGCAGGATTCTGTTTCCGTGCAAACTTCCATCCCAGTGAACAGCAAAATACTCTCTGGATTAACAGTTTTCCAGAGTTTTCTGTAATATGTCAGCAGTCAGTCCCCTTCAAAGGACAACGTGGTTGTCGACTTTTGCTGATTGACACACAAATATGCCTGTCACAATTTTCTCTTGCAGCCATACAGACTTAGGCACAAGAAGGAACAAATAGCTGAGCTGAGCCTTAGGAGTAATTCAGTGAAGTGACAGGGTTTGTCATTTAAAAGAATGAGAAGGCAAGAAGCCACATCTCATTTTCAGCTTAAGGTCTGATGTACTGATCAGGAATTTTTTAAAACGGGTCAGCAATTTACCCCGTGGGCAGTGAAGATATTTTACTTGTCTGGACTGAGTTTTTGTTGTCTTGGGCTGCGAGACTGGACAACAAACTTGGTTTTCCTAGCCTGCACAGCAGTTCTTTAAAACAACGGTCTTCTCTGAGAGGTTGTCACACATTCATGAGAAAGAAGAATGTCCTCATTTTTGCTGAGCAAAAACAAGTCTCAGCAGAACATACTGCATTCGGCTCCTCATTTCTGACCCAGACCATACTGCCATGTGAACTGGAGAGAAGGACTACATTTGGATGCGAGAGACTTTCAAGATTTTCCCTATATAACAAGGCACTTATCTCGTTTGTCACTTCATCATCCCGTGCATTAGAGCTCCCAATGAAGTCTTACCCGTTGGTGGTTCAGGTAGGACAAATGCATTTAACTGAACTTCATTTTTTGGCAGGGTCACTTGGACATTGTTTCCTGCGGAAACTACCAGCTCCTTCATAACTGTGAGGGAGGGAGAATTACAGTGTTAAAAGGAACAGCAAAAAAAATTACATACATAAAGAGAACTTTGGCTTTGAGCTTGTGGAATAAAAGCCAGCTACAAAATGGCTGTATTTTGCTAACGTCCCATCACTTAGTGTCGTTTCGGGTTTCTGTCTAGTACTGAATGCAAAAACACTAATGGGGCTTCACAATTGTGAGGGAAGCCTAGAATTATTCAGTTACCTCCCTCTCTTTGGAGAGGCTGTGTAACTTCTGCTGCGTTTCTGAAGAGCTGAAATGGGACCCTCTTGCCCTGTACAGAGGCCTCTATTCAACCCGGTCTGGCAGGGATGAGAAGGACTCAGCAGATAGGTTTTCAGGAAAGAACCCAGCTGCTCTTGTATGGAAGGGGAAAGACTAGAGCTGCTATTTACTAAACTGAAATTTCAGATCTTTACAAATATATGAAGAATTCAAGGTATTCCCACCTGAAAAAATAAAAGCTTCTTGGAGGCTAACAGATTTTCTAATACAAGCTGCACACCTTCCGCTTTCATGCTGTTCTAACCCTAAATACAAGGGTGTGCCACTTACTTTGATTTTTCCTCTCATTTCCTAATCAGGAAGAAAAGATCAGTAGCATTTCTTATCCATTTCTTTCCAATGCTGACTCATAAGAACAGCCATACTAAATCTGACCAAAGGTCCATCTATCCCAGTGTCCTGTCTTCCAACAGGGGCCAATGCCAGGTGCCCCAGAGAGAATGAACAGAACAGGTAATCATCAAGTGATTCATCCCCTGTCGCCCATTCCCAGCTTCTGGCAAACAGAGGCTAGGGACACCATCCCTGCCCAGCCTGGCTAATAGCCCTTGATGGGCCTATCCTCCATGAACTTATCTAATTCTTTTTTGAATCCTGTTATAGTCTTGGTCTTCACAACATCCTCTAGCAAGGAGTTCCACAGGTTGACTGTGCATTGTGTGAAAAAATACTTCCTTTTGTTTTAAACCTGCTGCCTATTAATTTCATTTGGTGACCTCCTAGTTCATGTGTTATGAGAAGGAGTAAATAACACTTCCGTATTTATTTTCTCCACACGTCATGATTTTATAGACCTCTATCATCTCCCTCCTTAGTCGTCTCTCTTCCAAGCTGAAAAGTCAGAGTCTTATTAATCACTCCTCATATGGCAGCCATTCCATACCCCTAATAATATGTTTCCCTTTTCTAAATCTTTTCCAATTCCAATATATCATTTTTGAGATGGGGCGACCACATCTGCATGCAGAATTCAAGATGTGGGCGTATCATGGATTTATATAGAGGCAATATGATATTTTCTGTCTTATTAAGAAAGAGATAGATAATGATTCCCAACATTCTGTTTGCTTTTTTGACTGCCGCTGCACATTGAGTGGATGTTTTCAGAGAACTATCCACAATGACTCCAAGATCTCTTTCTTGAGTGGTAACAGCTAATTTAGACCCCATCATTTATATGTATAGAGAGATGAAAAGAGATGACTAATTTTGTTCTTAAAGGTGACTTGATAAGGGTAGAGGAAAACGGTATTTTTGGCCTTTTCTGTTTCTTTACTATGTACAAAGACCTGGAAAGGCAATTGCTTTTCTCAGAGTATTTTTTGCTCTCCCCACTTCTTTTTTTAAAAATCCGGAGGGGTGGGGGAGTGAGAAAAAACATTAAGAAAAATAAGAAATCTGTTCTTCCCCAAGACCTTATTGGGATCTCAGAGAGGTATACTGGAAGCTATTTTAAAAAGTTAGGGAGGCTGAATATTTAAACTCCCATCTATTTATTAGTTAAACAGTTAACCAAAGAAAACCAGAACAAAAGTTCTAAAAGAGTGATTAAAACTTCCTTCCCCTCTCAATTACTCAACCTCTTGCGATGTCATAATTCCACTAGTGCTCTAATCACACAGAGAGTGTCCCAAGGGAAAAGGAGATCTGGATTTCTAACAGAAAAAAACAAGTAGATAAAACCTCCAATCCTTTTTTGAAAATAACTTTTCAGGTCTTCTTTATACTTCATAAAGGAGCAGTGAGAAGCTAGCCAAATGTTTGCCTATGAAGGTCACTTTTAAGACATTTAATAATATATAAATTCCAACACTAGTGGAGGGAGGAATGTATTAAAAAAAGACTAGCAAACTGGTTAGTTCAGATAACCGATTGGCTTTCTGCCAAGTGTCGAAGTACATCGCATTTCCTTTCCACTGAGCCATCTGTTCCATTTTCAGGGGCAAAATATACCCTAAATTTACAAGAATTCAGCTTTGGGTCTTTCCAAGAACTGAATTTAGGGAATTTTGTTATACTGCAGCTAGTCACACTAGGTGAGCAACACACAGTGCCTTGTGTATATGCACAGATCCTCACAGAAGCAGCTAGTGAGTGAAGTTTGGTTTATCCTAGTGTTGTTTGTGGTTCTTTTGTTATTTTACACATTCTGTAATGATCACCTTTAGGAACACCGGTGTGAATAGAAACATGACACTCTGCTGCAGAGTGAGACATGGCTAATGGCCAAGTGTACGGTTTCTGCGTGACTGAACTATACGTTGACATTTCCGGGGGGGAAAGTCAGACCCCATTATAGGCAACCACCTTACAAAATAAAATGAGAGATTTCCACTCAGCTTGGTGGAGGGCAGAGTACTGTAGATAGCTGCTGAAACAAGGTTTCATGCCACTACATCTTGTGTCAGATCTCTAATCCCATTACAGTACCGGAGACATTATCACTCCTTCTGAGCTGCACTTGGAGAACAGATTCATTAGACATATAGAGATTTGCAATTCCAAATACAGGATCCCATCCCACAGCCTCAAGGTCTCTGCCAGGAGTCCCAATGGGGTGTACAGGGACTGTCATGGGCCTATACCAGAAGCCCTCAGGATGGTTTATGGCAGAGATAGGGAACCTGTGGCACATGAACTGATTTACAGTGGCACTCACACTGCCTGGGTTCTGGCCACCAGTCTGGAGGGCTCTGCATTTTAATTTAATTTCAAATGAAGCTTCTTAAACATTTTAAAAACCTTATTTACTTTACATACAACAATAGTTTAGTTCTATATTATAGACTTATAGAAAGAGACCTTCTAAAAACATTAAAATGTATTACTGGAACGCAAAACCTTAAATTAGAGTGAATAAATGAAGACTCAGCACACCACTTCTGAAAGGTTGCTGACCCCTGGTTTATGGTATGGGATCCATCCCCGCCCCCATGCCAGGTCCCCCAGGGTGGGCCAAAGGCTCCAACCGACATACGTATTGGAAGAGGCCCCCTCAATACTCTCTTGGAGAAACTGTATTCAGGTACTGTCCCACGGTGGTGGCTTTACTGTGCTTTAATGTCTCATCAGTCTCTCAATGGGATATTCTGGTTTTGGAAGGTGCTGCGGAGTACACACTCACCTGGCACTGGTGTAGGGGTGCTTGATGATGTGGCAGGGATAGCCTGGACTGTGGTAACGCTGTCATTGGTGGGAACACCGGTGGGCACAGCGGTAACGGTCTGCATCTTCATCGTGTTTTTCCCCAGCAGAGCACTGATCGTAGGGAGAATCTCCTCTAAAGAAAGAGGCTGGACGGAAGTGTTGTTTGACTGCTTGAGTTTCTCAGCTTTGCCAGTGGCAGTCAAACCCAGTGCTATGGGGCTGGAGAACGTAACCAGCACCGGGCGTTCTGACGTGGATGTTCCTGCATGAGCCTGGAAAGAAGAGAACGTCTCAGTCTCAAACTGGATGCCGATTTAGTTTTTAAACTCAAACTGACCCCAAATTCCCCTCAGTTCTGCACAGCATCAAATGTCTACAAGATAGTCACTCGTTCCTTCTAAAATTAGGGAGGAAGGAAGCCCCCCATACTTATTCTCCTATTGATAGGAAGCTTTGCAGCTCCCTCTCCTTTCTTCCAACACGGCTACTCTCTGTTTTTGCCCACCCTGCACTTCCCCCCGGCTCTGTCTCCAGAACAGCTAGGTTGTTTCCAGCTCAGCTGCATACAGCTCAGTCCCCTTAGATCTAAATACTTCAGCTATGGCGGCATATAAGGTGCTATGTCAGGCTCCATAGAAGATGCTGGGGTGCCTGCAACACTTAAATGAGCAGAGCACGCCAAAGACACTAAAAGCAGGGAACCAGATTTCCCTCCGGTAATTTGTCAGTCACATATTCCTATTTCTGAAGCTGTGATGTGGGCAGGTATGAAGGAGGAGGATTCTACCGGCATCTTTTTGATTTAAGAATCCCTCACTGCAGCAGGGAGTTATTGATTTTAGATCGCCCCTAAAAGAGACCACCTGTGCCTTGAACGACTGGCACTCCAACAGCTATATGAGTGTATGTCACAACACAAACTATTTGGGGAAGGGGATCCGAAAGCGTGTACACATCCCCCCTCTGCATACCATGCAGCATGAGTCAGTTTATTACAAATAATCAAAGCAGACGAACACAATTTCCTTTCTTTCATCAGAAATTCCTTCTACAGCACCTAGCTCCACTCTGGTTAGTAGCCTGCAGGGTAACTCCCGGACATTTCAACTTTAACTGGGTTTATCTGTAGAGTACATCTGCATAGCATATTTTGTTGAGCAAATGCTGTTTCAATAATATCTGCGGAACACTTAAAATGCAGCACTTCTCCATCTTTGATTTGGAACCGGTTTTGTAACTGAATTACCCCATCACTGACTCTATTGGTACAGTTGGGTCAAAAGATCAAACCAAAGAAAGGCACTCAGGACTTTAATACCACGTCACTGGCATTCAGTCTGGGCAATGGATGCTGCAGAAGTGCATTGCCACATGTCCTAGTAGCTAGATTAGGCTACAGAACCTTTTAACACCACTGGTAAAATCGAAGCCCTTGAACATACACACCGAAACAGCCAGCCAATGCTAATACCGGGGGAGGAAGCTCGGCCTTGTGGTTCAGGCTTTTCTGCAAAACACTCTCTCCTTGCAGTGTTGAGTACGTCACTTGTACCTGCTCTGTCTCAGTGTCCTGAGGGTGAAGAACTATATTTGTTCATGTGTTTAAAGTACTTTCAGTGCCATTAACAGAAGATACAAGGGTAAAGCACTATTAATATTATGTGCAAAGGAGGATTCTCTCCACTTTCTTACCAGTTAATGGGCTCTCATGCTTTGGTGAAGCTATAGATTCTTTGCACTAAAGAAGCAGGCAAATCTTGGGACATGCTACTCTGTAGCAGTCCTCATTAACAGTCTGAACATGGCCAGCAGGAGCTTCTGTTAACATGCACAAATAGGCTTCCCTAACTGCAGGGGGGGGGAAGAGGGGGAAGCGATAGATGGCACACATATTCCAATTCTGGCACCAGACCACCTAGTACATTAATCGGAAGGGGTATTTCTGATGGTTCTCCAGGCACTTGTGGATCACCGTGGGCATTTCACGGACATTAACACAGGCTGGTCTGGAAAGATGCATGACGCACACATCTTTCGGAACACTGGCCTGTTCAGGAAGCTGCCAGCAGGGACTTTCTTCCCGGACCAGAAGATCACTGTAGGGGAAGTCGAAATGCCCATTGTGATCCTGGAAGACCCCCCCTACCCCTTAATGCCGTGGCTTATGAAGCCATACACGGAGAACCTTGACAGCAGCAAGGAGCGGTTCAACAACAGGCTGAGCAAGTGCAGAATGCTCACTGAGCGTGCTTTTGGCCATTTAAAGGCCTGCTGGCGCTGCCTCTATGGGAGGCTGGACCTGGCCGATGACAATATACCTATGCATATGGCCACAGGCTGAATGCTCCATAATATTTGTGAAGGGAAGGGTGAAAGCTTCACTCAGGGCTGGACCGCTGAGGCTCAGTGCCTGGAGGCTGAATTTGAACGGCCAGAGACCATGGCTATTAGAGGGGCGCAGTGTGGGGCCATAAGGATCAGGAATGCCTTGAGGCAGCAATTTGAAGCTGAAAGCCACTAATATTTATTGCTGTGCTCGGGAGTGCAGTGCTTGTAATGCTAGGAGGTGATTGTGATTGGTGCAAACAATGCACTGTGAAGGTTTAAGAAAATTGACTGTTGCTTTGCAGGGCTCTGTTTGCTTTCAATTAATGGAATAAAGATTGCTTTCAAACCAAAACAATTCTTTTATTAAAAAACAACAACTGGAGGAGAGAGACAAACAAAAAAGCACATCAGCACTGTGAGGGACAGGGGGAAGGGAGGGTCCCAGGAGGAGGTGGGGTCCTGGGAAGATTTGTGTATGTCCAGGTATCATATGCAACCTTGTCCTTTGGAGTACAGTGCAGCGGGTACTGTACTTCAGCAGGGCTAAACTGCAGAGAGCTGGGTGTTGAGTGCAGTGGGTACTGGGAGTCCACAGGGCTGGACTGCGATGGGGCAGGAGTGGAATGACGCAGGTATAGACTGGAGTCAGGAGGTGGATAAGAGTGTGTTGGCGGTGTCTGGGGGGTGCATGGGAAAGAGTTTTGCGACAGCGGCTTTAGGGGAGGGCTGGCATGCAGCTGCTCAGTTTGCAGTGCTAGCAGCGCCTGGAATGGGTCTGCTTGGCGCTCCATAATCTTTAAGAGCCGTTCCGTGGCTTCGTACTGGCGCGCTGCATTCTCCTTTTGGTCCCTCTTCTCGCTGTCTCGCCACTCCTTCAATTCTCGTTTTTCGTCCGTGGAGTGCATCATGACATCATGCAGAAAGTCTTCTTTAGTTCTTCATGGCCGCTTTCTAATTCTGCGCAGCTGTTCAGCCGGCGATAACAAGAGGGAGGCTGGGCCCCCAAGGTCATGTGTGTGAAGCCAAAATGCAACATTTTACAGAAGCAGTATTGTTTGCAACACACAGACCACTGATTCAGTGATTTAAAACACAGCCACTATTCACAGACCTGTCACTAACTGGCTTACCCCAGGCAAGCACACATGAGCCACAAGATCCCCCCAAAATGGTGAGTAACTACAGGGGCAGGGGAAATCAGTGTTCCAGGACCGTACTGTACACTGGGCTCTCTTGGGGAGAGCCAGCATTGGGGGTGGGGCCTTATAATCATTACTGGCCCCACATTTTCCACAGGCTGTGTTCATTATGGAAGATATCTCGCTGCTGAGGGTGAGCAGGGAATCAAGGGAGGGTCTTCTCCAAGACTGTGGCTTCTGCCCTGGCCCTTATGCGACTCGCCTGTGTGCAGCAATGGTCCCCCTCCCAGTGATGGTAGAGTGGTGCGTGAAAGTTACCCTTAATGGGGCAAGAAACAAAGCAGCTCTGCCAAAGAACCTGTGGCAGCGGATTGCCCAGTATCTCCAAGAGAGTTTTGTGGAGATCTCTGAGGCAGATTCCCGTGAAGTGAGGGAGTCAATCAACACCCTGTTCCGCTGCTCAGACTAGGCATGTGGTGGTATGCACATCATACAGACAGAAGCCTACTTTCTGCAACCCTCCTGCCCCCAACAACTCGCTTCAGTGATTCCCAAAATCAAAGTCACTTACCAGGGGCCTCCTCTCCTGTTTGCATTTTGCCAAGCTCCAACACTGGCTAGCCTCCTCCGGGGCAGAGAAGAGCTCCTGGCTGCATGCATCGCTGACCTCCAAGTCATCCTCTGCCTCTGGGTTCCACTCCCCCTCCTCGTCCAAGATTTCCTCCTCCTGGCTCGGTCCACTCTCAACTGGCACGCGAGCCACCGAAGTATCCACAGTGGCCTTCGCAGTGGAGGTGGGGTCGCCACCAAGTATCGCATCCAGCTCTTTGTAGAACCGGCAGCTCATAGGCGTAGCACCGGAGCGGTGGTTTGCCTCCCGAGCCTTGTGGTAGGCGTTCCGCAGCTCCTTCACTTTGACCCTGCACCGCAGCGTGTCCTGGTCATGGCTCCTTTCTGTCATGCATCGTAACATCATAATTCCTATTGCTGGAGTGCAGCTGGGACTGCAGAGCCTCCTCTTCCAAATGCTGATGAGGTCCAGCAGCTCAGCAATGCTCCAAGCAGGAGATCACCTGGTGCGTGGAGCAGGCATGGTCACCTGGAAAGATGCGCTGAGACCACTGCATGTGTCACTGAGCAAACAGGAAGGGGACTTTCAAAATTCCCAAGCAATTTACGGTGTGGGGCTCCTGGTTGGTCACCTGAGGGCAGGGCAGTAGAGTTCAAATCGATGACCAGAGAGGCGAGAACAGGCATTGTGGGACACCTCCCGGAGGCCAATTGCAGCGCTGTAATCAACCAGGTGTCTACACTGGCACCGCGGCACTGTAGCCCAGGCGCAAAAAGCTGTACGCCTCTCATAGGGGTGTTTTTTTACAGCATTGCAACGGTGCAGTTTCTGCGCACCAAGTGGCTTAGCAGTGTATACAGAAACTTGCCAATGTAGACAAGGCCTGAGAGAGGCAAGAAACGTTTAAGGTCAGCTGTAGTGAAGTCTCCCCAGAAGTCAGGTGCATATGGAATGGGAGAATGAGATCACTGTTTAAGTCTCAATCTCTTATGAAATGCTAGAGGAAGGAAAGGTTTCAGGCGGACCAGAAATACTGCAATATTGCAGGAGAGAGAGAAAACAAAGGGAAACTCATGAGTCACTCTTAAGTAGCATGAGGTTCTGGGAGATCAAACATTTGCAAATGCAAAGTTAAACCACAATGTTGTTTCACACACACCTGGCTCTGGAATTCTCAGTGGTGTCCTTTGGCTCCACTCCACATCCTGCTCTGCAAGCTGGTGGCTGATATCAATCACAGTACTACCTAGCACCATAAGATTTGCATAGCTGGAGTGGAACAGATTCTCTTAATTTTCCAAAGCCAGAATGTAACTACAGGAGAAAGGAGCCCACTGCAATAATCCCAAATCCTTGAAATATGACAAGAGATATTCAAGCAACGTAGCTTCCTAACGTATGATTCACTCTGCAACACCACTCCTATTAGGGACTCTACAATGCCTATGATCAGACCCTTTGCACATATAACAAAGAGCACCTAGTATTTCAAACACGTCTATTTCTGTTTAGATCAGACATCTGGAAATACTGTACTGACTTCCTGTTTTTTTTTTTTTTAATAGAAGCCCAAATGATCCTCATTTATCCATTGCTAATGGAAACCCTTATGGACTTCAGAGTATGAAAAAATGAGTCTTAAAACAAAAATAAAAATTACGACTTCAGATCAGTTACAGAGCAAAGCTGATCTGAAGATACATGACAAAATAGTATAGGTCTGTAGAGTAACATGCTGAATTGCTCCAGAATTCAACACACTTCTTATAGAAAACTACTTAATTTATTTTGTGGGTAAACCAGATATATTATGGGTAACTGACTCCAACACCCATGCACTCCCCTGCCTTTTGCTGGTTACTTCACACCCACCAGACATCTCTCCTTCTTACCTCTCACTTTTATGGTGCGTATTATACGGGACAGGAAGCAGTCTGCCTGTCATCTTTTTTCCAAGAGCCAAAGGGCTAATGAAATCAAATCAAATCCTACCCCAATTCAGAGTCAAACTACTGCCTCGTCTCCCTGCAAAGAGGCTGAAAGCACATTTCTGAAGTGCCTTCTAAGTGTTCTTAATATGAAGCCTGCATAATAAATGACAGCCAGAAGGATGTTCAACTGATGAAAGTTAAGACTGACACTAGCAACAGACAGTCCATTCACGTCCCCATTTCGTTCCATACACTTACCCCTAGAGAGCCGCTACCAGCTGGATCACTCAGTCCACTCACACTATGGCTCTCAGGAGAGGCAGGGCTTTTGTTTTTCTGTTCTCTTGAGTCCGTTCCATTTTGCAGGGAAGTTTTCTCTCGAGTTGCATGGTCACTGGGAACATCCCTCAATGAAGGCCTAGGTTCCGGGTTAGCCTTTAGACCAATATTACTCAAGCTGCTCTTAGATGCGCTGTCCAAGGTACTGGCTGGCAGATTTTCAACATTCCCCCTGGTGGGGAGATCTGTTATATCCCTTTTCAGCAAGCCCCTCCGAACATTTGTCAAGTGCTGTTTTTGTGTCAACAGCTCCCGGAAGGACCTTCGCAGTCTCTTTTTGGCTTGGACTGGCGTGCACCAATCCAACAACTTGTGAAGCAGAGTCTCCACCTCGCCTTCACGTTGAGAGCTTAAGGAGTGCTCTGTAGTTTTCGATTTCTTTAGAAACACCAAAATGGAACCTGAGGAGTCAGTCCTGCTTGCCTGACACTGATGGGGAATCATGCAGTTCACCTGGAGACACATCTTTTCCAACAGCCAAAAGGCATCACAGCTGGGGCTCTGGCAGCAAGCAGCCTGACATGACTGGGCAGTGTGAAATCCCTCCACAAGCTGTAGCTGGTGATCTCTCCATGATCTCAAATAGCCACCAAACAGGATCTTCTCTGGCTGGCACACGGCTCTATTCCAGTTTGCATCTGGGAAGGAGGCAGAGTGGAAAAGAAAAGACAATTCAAAATGCTGTAAAGTGACTAACAGTTAATCCTTAGCACTGCCAAAGAGTATTCAGAGTACAGGAGTGGGGTCAGAGCAAGAAACCAGAAGGCAGGACTCCTGGGTTCTAGAACTTGCTCTACTGACTGCATATGACCTTAGGCAAGTCACTTCACCTCTGTGCCTCAGTTTCCCTCTCTAAATCCTAATGGCAACTTCCTCAATTCATAGGGTCATCATGAGGTTAAATTCCTTTGCTTGTAACTCTCTGGAAGGTATCACAGAAGGGCAAAGTAATGCTAGGCAGCACATCTAGTTTCTGATAGGAGCTGGAGTTGCCTCAGTGCTCAGTTTGGGCTGGTAAGTCCATCTCTCTATACCGAGGCCCCTTTTGGATTAAAAAACTCCCACAGCACATAGATACAAATGTTATTTGTCACCAAAGGCATCAGAATCAAGCTTTCCCCCACCAGCTATGGGCTGCACCAACGTAACAGCAAAACCCTGTAGACTGAGCAAAGCTGAGTACATCACTTTTGACAGCTGACGTATAAAAGCAGCTTCTATTATTTTAAGGATCCCTGGGTTTTTAACTCCCCACCCATTTGATTTTCTAAAAGACCATTTTACTTAAAAAGTTAGAACTCAGAAGGGGATTTTATAAATCGTCATGTCAGGCAACGTGGTGACAAACCAAGCTGGGGGGATAACCTGGCCAGGCCACCGCTCCGTGGAGGATGCAGCCATGTTCCAGAGATTCTTGTCAAAATGAGGGAACTTCAACCACAGTAACTAGTGCTGAGTTCTGAGACCTCAGCAAAGCACGGGGTAGAAAGAATTGAAATGACCTTTCATTCTCAACCCAGTTGATATCTGCTTTGAGTAAAAATGTGGACAGTTGAGTTATGAGAAGCAGTGTGGTCTAGTGGTTAGACCAAAGTCAGGAATCTTGGGTTCCATTCCTGGATCTGCTGTTAACTTGCTGCATAACCTTGGATTCACTGCTCAATCTCGGTGCCTCAATATATGCTTCTGCAAAACAGCATTAGAGTTTACTGAGGTCACAGGTGCATTAAGGCTATAATAATGTTTGTAAAGCACCACATAAGTATTAATAAGATTAATACTCTTTTTTGCATCTCGAAATGAAGACGTACACACTCCTGTCCCTCACCTTCTGAGGTGCGTGACCTGTTGCAAACAGATTCAGTTCTGGCAATAGCCCTGTAAACATTTTAAACACATGGGGGGGGCTCTTCTGTATCCAGATCTGCCTGCATGCTTATATATGGTAGATCAGTGTATAAGGGCTCTGAAGCCCAAGTCAATGCAAAGTTGCTTTCCTGCTGCAGATACTTTGCATAAAGAATGTTTAGGTTGGCTGACTGCAGCACAAGCCTTGGCTAATGAGATGTTCTAACCTTGTACTGAAGAGACTAAATATTTTAAGTTTAGGTTATCAGCCGCACAATGCACCTTGGGCCACTGAGTTCTTTCCCCGTTGTCAGCCCCATTGAGTCCACTTGACAAGTACAATAGGTGCAAAATATTCAGTCCATCCACTATACCACTTCGCAGCGCGGTGACATCATCAACCATAAGTAACACAAGGAGACACTTGCTAAATTTTTCTAATAAAAATAAGCGTTACTATATAGCTTCATTTAAAAAAATAAGAAAAGAGAAGAAAAAGTTACAGCCAACATGAGAAATAGGTTTAGCTTTACATGACGTATAAAAATGTATTCAGGAGAGGTCATGTGTTTTTGTGGACTCAGAATGGGACTGGAAGCCAGATTCTCAAAGTCCTAATTCTGGCTGTGCCATGACTCTTTCTGTGGTCCGTGGAAAATCGCTTCATTTATCTGTGGCTCAGGTTCCCCACAGGGGAGCTATTACTTGCATAAATGTTGCAAAATTTACTCTTTCACAGAAGCAAACTTTTTAATTTAGAGAGTAAAGGTCTATTCTGATGAATAGGTAGAGAAGACATGTTGTATAGAGGTGCTGATTAATGCTCCATTAGACAAGGCCAAGATGGCGAGAAAATTCCCAGTTATGATTTTATTTGGAAGCAGTTTCTGAATGATTACTGGGAGCAGATGCATTTGTGGTGAATACTACTCCCACACCTCCTCCCTCGCCTCCTCTCCCCCATACACAAGGTAGTTTGGCATTCATGCTGCCTTCTTCTAGGATGTGTATTCTCTTGTAATAAGTGGTTGCCGCTTTATTGCAAGTACATTTGTGTGAAATTTCAATTAAATAAAACCACAGGAATCCCAGCTACAAACTCATGTGAAACAATCACTGCTCATGAGCAAGCGCAGGTTCCACTGTCTAAACAAAGTCGCTTGGTAATCTGAGAAGGATGTGGTATGGTTGTGTATCAATTGTTATCCGAGGACGGTCACATTTTCCTGTATGGGAGGGCGGTGACAACAGTTGAGTCAACAGCTTAAAGTCTGCATCTCTTCATTCAGAACAATGATTAAAACTGAAGATTAAAATATCATGGTAGGATTCAAACATAATATACTAGCCTGTCTAGAAGGCACTTTCTGTTAGAGAATAGTCTATTAGATTTAAACCAGCAGGCTCTGCAGTCTACACATACGGAGAAATTTATATACGGACCCCCATATGCCGGCTATTCACTTATGACTGAGGCTCATGCACAGTTTGCTGCTATGGGGAAAGGACCACATACTTTCAGAAAGCTACCAGCAGCTGAAAAGGTTTAGAGAGCGCATTGTTTGCTGGTAATGTGTATGGATTTCCAGGCTTTGGGAACAGGGTAAAGATGGCCAGGCAACATTCTTTGCTGAACTAGCTCTCTAATGTAGGTTGGCATCACATACAGAGGGCCAGAAACTTGTCACGGTCTTGGAACACCAAAGTGCTTCCCTCACCGAAGAGGAAACAGCTTCCTCTAGTGTACCATTTACATCATATAATATTGCTAAAAATGGTAAGGGGGCTAGCTTTTCACGAAAATGCATCTCAGGGACTCAACGTGCGTGTCAATTAACAACAGCGTAGTTAAGGCATGCAGAGGGAGAGCTGACAGCCAGCTGAACATATTTGAAGAGAATGGAGAGGAATTATGTAGGGTGATTCAAGGGAGCAAACAGTAATGGAATGAAATTGCGAAAGGGAAAATCAAGTACATCCAGAACAGTTCCACACAAGGGAAGGACCAGACCTCTTGTTGGGATAGCTCAGTGGTTTGAGCATTGGCCTCCTAAACCCAGGGTTGTGAGTTCAATCCTTGAGGGGGCCACATAGGGATCTGGGGCAAAATCAGTACTTGGTCCTGCTAGTGAAGGCAGGGGGCTGGACTCGATGACCTTTCGGGGTCCCTTCCAGCTCTATGAGGAAAGAAAGAAAATATACCTAATACTAAAACGGATAATCTACTAGAAAATATAGGATAGGGAACAACCCTACACTGGTCCCTCTCAGGTGTCGTGGCAGAACTTAGTACTGAAGATAACCAAGATTCTGATTTGATACAAAGGAGCTGCTGCAGCAGGTACAACAAAAATAATCCATTTATCCAAGTCCTTGCAGACTTTCACTTGCCTTGAAACAAACATACTGAGCAAAGTTAAAATACAAGTTGCTGCAGACACACCAGTGTTTATCAATTCACATCTAAGCCATGTTGGAATATTTCCAACAGCTGCAGGTGGAAACTTTTACTAAGACTTTTATAGGGAGAACAGCAGACTTGTAAGCAGAACTTCAATGTGAGAAACCTGCATTCAGAAGGTCTGATTTGGAAAAAATCCTAAGCAAAGACTCAGACCCCTCCTTGACGCAAAGCAATAAAATAAAGAACATGAGTAGCGTGTGAATCGATACTTGGAATTGCTCGGATATGGGTGGTTCGAGTCGGACGGAGTCATTTTAGCAAAGTCACCCATTGTGCTTCCCTGGGGGAAGAAAAAAAAAAAAAAGGGAGGCAAGAAAGTCTCATGGAAGTTGATTAAAACCACTTTGGCTTTAACTAGTGTAGCCCATAGGATTACTTTGCTAGCTATTATATCCTACTAATCCAGCCCGCCGTATCATAGAATATGTTTCTCTTTCTGAATTAATCCATTTCATACATGATCCTTATATTTTATCAGTAGTAATTCCTATGAATTTAGGATGTGTCGAGGCATATGATGTATTTCCTAATAATTATACATAGAATAAGTTTTGCTGAAATGCAAGAAGCCTACCGGCCTGTATCCGGTAAGATCTGCTAAATAACTAAAAGTTTAATCAGTTAAGAGTAAGTCAGCATAAAAGCTGGCAATCTTTGGCACAGATAGAAACGGTCCCTGAACTTTGGGGAACCAAAGAGAGGAACTACACACAACACTGAACAGGTTTATCCGGTGTCTGCAACCGGTTGGTAACTGCAGGGTATACCACAAACCTGGAAGTCGCCAGGAAAGCCTAGGTTGGCAGTTTTTGGAGTAAAATAATCCTTATTAATATGTAGAAAGTAAGTGTCATAATCCACTAACCTATAGGATAAGTGTACCCATAAACTTCTTAGGGTACGGCAATAAGATTTGGGTATAGTAGGTTGGGCCTGAATTATATAACCTCAGGATCCTATAAAGTACCATGTAAGGATATCTTAGGGGGCTTTTTCTTCTTTGTTCTCCTATATTCTATAGACTATATTTTTATCTACCTATCATTCTATCTTCTATCATGCTATCAGCTCAGCTTGTGTAGTATAGTATAACTACTCAACATTCCTAACTATTGGGGAAGCCAGAATCATCGTGTTATCGGGCACGCCAGGAGTAAGGCTGGTCCTTCACCTCCTATTACCGGGTCCTCAAGGAATGGTAAGAGTTTGTTAGGTTAAGGTACTTATAATAGGAATGCTACCACCAGGAGTTTTGGAATTCTTTTACTGCTTTGCAGTCATAAGTTTCATAGCATTATTCTTTTGTTAATCTCAATAAAGTTTTTA